TTGGTCTCAATGATCTCGCGCACGAAAACAATCACATCCATGGCAGAAGCCACATTGGTATCCCCCAAGAAGTCCATCAACAGATGCACAACAGTGCTTGCCACCTCCGGGAACTTAATAGCACAAGTATGTATAGCTTGCACCAGCATCTGCCTGTACTCACCGTTCTTCTCGTGCTCCCCACTTTGAGTTTTGACAACTTCTTTCTTGAGCATCATAACAACCTCATCAATGTTCCTGGGAGTAATGAGCTCAAGGGCAATATCAAGAGTCTTCCTCCTAATATCAGGATTGGGAGTGGAAAGAGCCCGAAGGACATCCATGACCATTTCAACCATGATTTCCCTGTTTGAACTCTTGAGCTCATTAAGTCGATCAAGCACAATGAGTTTGACATTGTTATCACTCTGGGAAAGCAACAACTGACAGTAAGTACTGGCAGCAGCTCTAATGGCAGTGGGGGCAGAAGAGAGGGACACAAGGGTTCCAGCACATTCATAAATAACAGCAGTGGAAGGGGCATTCAACAAAGATATGATAATCTTTATGTATTTCCCCTTCTCCCCCTTATTAGTCCTGCAAACCTTCCTAATCAATTCCAACACAACCATCTGAAGCTGTTCACCCCAATCATTAATTCTGTCGATATTGGTAAACAGATAATTGATGGCACGATCCTGAGCACAAGAAAATAGCATAAGGAAAGCATTGCGCTTACTAGAAGGATCCTGCTCGGTGGAGAGGAACTTCTCCACGATCTCGGGCGCGCTGTCGAGTAACTGCTCCCCCTGAGGAAGCTTGTAAACGGACATAACGGCAAGAACGGCGTTGCGACGGACGAAAGGGTGACGGTGTTCAAGGTTGGAGAGAATAGAAGGGATTAGAGGTTCAATGATCTCAGACTCGTTGAGACGGCAGAGGAAACGGAGCGTGACGCCACGGATGTATTCGTTGGGGTGCTGAAGGTTGTTGCGTAGGTTCTGGCAAATGAGAATCATCTCGGGAAGGACCTTACCACGCGAATCGGTCTTGTCAATGATCTCAAGGTAGAGAAGGAGGAGCTTCTGGATGGTGTGATCCTCTGAGGGAAGGACGTAGCGGATTATGGTGATGAACAGCTGTGGGATGCTCTCGCCGTTGAGGAGGAGCATGATGGCCTTCTTCAACGCGTCGATCTTTGCTGCGACGTCGTTTCCTTCGAGCGCTTCCTTGATCTCGTTGGCCAACGCGGGCGTTCCCTTGTCGAAGTGAACCACCAGAGTGCACGACTTCTCCATTTCTGATCTGCAGTTGTCTCAGAGCAGATCTGATCTCACAATTTCGGAATGACACAAAGAAATTACACAGTTAACGGTGGAGAAGACGAAGGAGCTGAATGCAGATCTGTGGGATCTGAGTCTGAGACTTGAAGTAAGAACAAACAAAGCACACACCTATCGGATCGCCATCTTCATCTTTTCTAATTGCTTTCTTTGCCTCTCTTGGGCCCAACTTCATTTTAGTTTTCTTCTCTGTCCAATCATTTGTTGGGCCTCAGAGTCTGTGTGGGCCTTTCTTGCTTTCTCTAATATAGATATAACAAAAAGGAAATAAAAACACGACAATGGCCGCCATTCTTCGGCCCAATATTCATTGTTGCATTTTTTTGTCCAACTAGCGAAGGACACAAAAAATGATAAAATTCAAATATATTTAAGGGCTAACATTTTTGTCAGATTAAAAAAATAACGTTTTTTTCACTATCTAATATTTTAATATTGTTTTCAATAATTTTATAGGTAGTTTTTTATTATCATATTTAGGATTTTGATTTATTTGTCCATTTACATACAGGATCACAAAATGGAGCAATAGCATCTTTGCAACAGAAAAATAAAATAGAAGGACGAATGAGTCATATTACTCTGATTGCATTAGTAACGTTACCAGTGAATAAGAAATGAGCACATCGGCACGTGGTTTTCTAATATGGATGGATCTTAAAATACACGCAATAATAAATAATAACCAGTAACTATACCCCACGGATTTATTTTATTTCTATTAAACTGATTTATTTTAAAATAAAATATATATAATTTAAATATAATATATATAATAAAATTTTATTATATTACAAATGCACAACTGTAGTTAAACGTTACAATTTAATTATTTTTTTATCTTCAATATTTGATGATGAATATTTCAAATTTTTTATATATAAAATATGAATAAGTTTTTATTGAATATCATTTATAGCAATTTTATTATTGACATTTTTAACATTATACAACTATCAAATTTTAATAAAATTATCTTAAATATAATTGAAAGATAATAAATATGAATCACTTATAACTTCAATTCTTATGTTATAAAAAGTATTATAATTAATTTTAATAAATTTAAATTTAATATAATTTATAGTAAATTTATTTATATAATATATTTTATAATGATTTTAAATATTTTAAATCTTAATCAATATAAATACATAGAATAATAAGTAAATTAATAATCATAAATTTTACTATATATAAAAATAAATAATAATAACATGATTAAAAAAATATTGATATTTTTAAAAAATTATTCTACCACTATCCAACCAAATAGTTGTCTCTACTTATTGGCTGTGCTCCTTTTTTCTTTTTATATATTTCTCTCTCTCTCTCACACACACACACACACACACACACAAACAAACGGCAACTAGTGCACGTGTCGTTTGTTCTCGTCAACATTATAACAAGATATTAAATCCTTCTCTGGATCTCATCCTTAAGTAAAAGTTCAAAAACCATTATTGCATTAGGTATTTAAAAAAGACACTTTATCTCATTTTAGTCACTGGTATACAAGAACAGCATATACTCATATACCATGAAAGTTGAAACGTCGAGTTACTGAGTAACATTAGTTCCAATTGCCTATTGCCTAATGCCTTGCCCGTATGAAACTAAAACATACCAACATGTATTTTTCTTAATGTGAATCCCTTCTTAAAGAGAGTGTAGTGTGTATATGAAGTTGTTGGAAGATCATTTTCAGTATCAATAACAGATGTTATTAAAAGAAAAAATAGTTGGACTTTGGAAACAAACAATAAACACTTAAAAGCCAATTTTTGAGGCGGATTAGTCGGAATATTAGATATCCAATTCCTCTCCTTCAAATATATTTATGTTCTTTGAAAATGGTCAATATTTTATCACATCGGAAAGGTTGTGAGGACTTTGTTGGATGAAGACATGTCACTAATAGTGAATACTAAATGCAACTTTGGTTGACCTCTCAATTCCCTAACAAATGTTTTGTAGATAATTTAATTATCATTTCTTCTCTTCAAAATAAAATAATTTCCTAGTTGTTGATAAGAGTCGTTTAAAGATAAACATTTTAAAAACCATGAATTCAAATTCATAAAGAAAATGTTAAGTGTAACACTCCCAGTGAAAAATTTTTTATTGGAAGGAATCGTACTTATGAAACTGATATTTTATAATGTGTGGCCATTGGCTTGGGGGTGTGGAGCTTAAGATGAAAAAGAATATACAAGGACCCCATTTGTTTTTATTGACGGCTCCTTCCTCAACTTGCTATCCAACTACTTCATCACCTCTATATATATACATATACATTAAAAAAAAATTAAAATTTTTCATTGTACTTTTAATTTAAAGCGTATTCATTTGTGTGTTCCTTTTATTTTTTAAAATAAATAAATCCTTTAATCTTTAAAATTAATAAATGATTTTTTTTCATCAATTTTCTTCTGTAACAAATTATCAAATTCTCATTTTCCATCTAATATATGAAGTTCACAATGAATTGTGAAAAAATTAGTCAAAATTTAATAAAATTTCAAAATTTATATAATATAGTTAGATTTTTTTTTTATCTTTAAAGTAATTAAATATTATAGTTTAAAAATCAGAGTAAAAAAATTACAAAATTGACTATTACATGTTAAAGTTGTGTTCTAGCAGTTGGACATGTTCTAGTTATTTTATTAGTTTTAGGAAGAAAAAAATTAGTAGAAAAATTTAATTGACTAAAATATTTTGAATTTTTTTTGCATAAAATAAATTTAAAAAATATTTTTAAATAAATATAAAATTGAATTAATATTCGTGTTTAAAAAATTTAAACATTTTACCACTTAAAAAATTAATAATTTATTAATATATTAAAAAGAGAAACGATTTACTTCCATTTTTTTTGTTTTTAAATTATAAATTACTAATTAGTTTTTTAAGATATCAATTGAAGAAAAAAAAAACAAAAATATTTATTATATCAAAATCTAAAATTATTTAATCCACTCCTCTTTTAGGTAAAGCAACTACTAACAAGTGTTTGTAAGACACTTGCGAATGGAAAAAAAAAAAAAGAGAGAAGGAAATATTTAATAAAATCATTTATTATATTATAAATATAAAATATACAATGCTTATTTTCAAGCAATCAAATATATTTAACTAGTTGTGCTAAATATTATATTAAAGATATTCGTTAAGAAAAATTTGAATAATTAAATATTTAACAAAATACATTAAATTGTTTTCAATAATACTTTTTAAGACAGAACAATTCTTACATAAGCATTATATGATCATCAAGAATGCAAATAATTAATTTTTAACATATTAATATTATATGTGATAAAAATCAGTAAATAATAATTTATATTAAAAATTATAACAGTTAATAGTATTAATATAGTAAATAATGTTAAATTTAAAAATTATACCTTATATAGCTTCTTATTATATGTAATATTACACAGATTAAAACAATGATGAAGTCTATCTCCAAATTAAAGATCCTTTAATTAAGCATTCGTCATCAAAAGTCCTTTTAAATTTTCAACAAGAGTTTATTAATGACATTGGTTAAAAACAAAAGTCCATGAAAGTCCACGTAAGAGTTTAGGGAGCACGTCATTGTCAGTGGCAGTGTCGGTGATGAACTAAAGAAAGAGAAGAGTGTTACAATTACATTTACAAAACATCATCAACTTGGGTTTTGTCTCCGTGTTCCCCACCTCCATGTGCTCCTAAAGCTCCTTCTTTCTGTTTTCTGGGTCTTCATGCTTCAGTTCTACTTTAAGTTTAGGGTTGCTTCTCAAATCTGATATTGCATTCCCAATTTAGAGAGTGATACCCACAATAACCAAAGATGGGAGTGGATTTAAGACAAGTGGTGGCTGGTGTCCTCACCCTCACAATGTTCGTCATGCTTATACATATGATCAAAAGGGACCATTTTGATTCTGTTGAAGTAAGAAACACTATCTATCCCTTTTTTCATTTATGTTCAGAGTTACCATCTTTCACTTTCTTCCCCTTTTCTCCCTTACATTACTGTGTCAAAAAAATAGCTTGTGGGATCTGAATTGCTATAAGAATAAAATGAAATTCAAGGATCAAATGAAACCCATTTGTGTATAGCTTGTAGAAATGATAGATCCTCAATTCACAAACGAGGAGAAAGTAGTTGCTTATGGTAAACGGTGGATAGAATGCACGCGAGTAGTGTTAAAAGCTAGATTTTTTGGACAGTGGTATCTTATTCTCTATACTTGTCGGATCATTGATTGATTTGTGAGAAGACATGAATGGATTAATAAACTGCGATGCTTCAATGTCTGAACTTCTATCATATGACTGTTCTTCCAGCTTGGTGCGAAAATGGAATGCTGTTAGCAGTTAATTGGTGATCCTGCACTTTGAAAGAAACATGCTATACTCTAATTATGGAGTGGAATTGGGGAAATTAAAGGGAAAAAACTGTAGCAAATCTATCCAAATAGATTAGTCAAGCTCAGGCTTGTTAAACAGGCTAATTGAAAACTCCCTTTTCTTGCCGTTAGTCTTCTTCTGTCTATTCTGTCTCTACCTAATTTTCTTACCTATCCAAATTCAGAATCCTCTTTTATACCTTCAAGGCCAGGTCTCCTTCCCCACAAAGCCTCTTCTTTTTTTTTTTTCAAAAAAAGAAAAGAAAGGAAATAATAAAGGGAGACTCATTTCAATACATGTTCAAGGGTTTTCTAATGCAGATTTATTCTGACTATTACTCTTCTAATTTTTTTTAATATATTTACAATTAATTCATTCCACTTATCTTTCTTTTATTTTTTGTTTTACAAGGACAAACTTCCAGGAACAGCAGAGGATTTCAACTTTGAAAATGCAAAGCTTGATACTACTCATGTTAGAAAGAATATAGGATTTTTGAAGGGAAATGCTGATCAATTAAAACCATGTTGGGTTAAGCCATCTGGAGGTAAAATTTGATTTTAAAGACATGAAAATTGTCAAGGAACTTACATCATGTACCAGAAAGAGTTACACGTGTTCAAATTTTCTGTCCATATTAATTAATATTTGGGCAATGGCTGGCAGACAGCGTGGAGCAGACTGATGGCTTTGTTACCTTTTCACTAACCAATGGTCCAGAGTACCATATATCTCAGGTAACTGATTCAACTATTGTGCTTAACTCATTGAGGAGCTGCTTATGTATTAGTTATGTAAAGATACTTGCAGCTATTATTCAAACATCAGCAATATTTTCCCTTTGATAATTCCCTCTCTTTCTCTCTCTTTCTCTCTCGTCCTCCTTAATCGCCTACTTCTTTCCATTTCTGACCTCTTCACTGACTTTAATTTGATCCATGTGGTTCTTTAATTTACGTATGTTCTCAATTTGAATTTTTTCCTTAATGCCAAGTATTGAGTTCAATTCTTGATTTTTCCGTTTCTTAACTATTTAATTTCAATTATTATTACCTATATTCTTATTTCTGGTAATTCCTTGTCCAGATAGCAGATGCAGTGATTGTTGCTCAAAGTCTTGGAGCAACACTTGTCATCCCTGACATTAGAGGAAGCCAACCTGGTGACAAGAGGTTAGTACTGACTTTCATTCTAGAAAATATTGAGGGTACAAGAGGTGTATAACAAGGAAAATGTTGACATTAATTGCTTCTCCGATCAATCTCTATTGTAGTTGAAGAGATTTTTGGCCTTTTTGGGGCTAGTTTTATTTCTTTGTTTTTGGAGAAGTAGCCATAATTTTGTTGCTTGTTCGTTTAACTTTCTGCTGGGATTGACACTAATCTTATCTTGCCAACAACTAAGACCTATTAGCTACTGATGTAAACAATACGGTGTTGAGTTATCTTCAGTTTTAAACTTCAACGTAGATATGTTTTTCTGCCATTATGTAATGCCAGTTTACTCTATTTGATGTCTATCCAGATTCCTGGCATTGCTTAAGAAATAGAATTCGTTATCATGGAGAAGGGAATGGGGAGGTGGTTTTAGCTGTGTCACATTCAGCTGTTCCCCCAAGTCCCTCCTTCAAATATAAAAGCCCCACAAACACCAGCTTGGTATTATCCATGGTGGCCAAGTTTAAGGTCAAAAACTGGAAAAATGACTCAAAAGTTCTCTTCTTTTCAAAAATGAGAAGAATCTTTTAGCTTTGTTATTTCTGGCTCCATTCATATTGCAAGCTTCCTTGGGATGGAACTTGATTTGAAAATGCTCTATTCTGATGACATTGCTGAATAGCTGACAGTTTTACTCAATTTGAAATCGGTTACTTTGGGTATATAGATGCACTTGCATGTGCCTAATATAATTTGTGTCTCAGGAACTTCGAGGACATTTATGATATTGATGTGTTCATGAAAAGCATGGAAGGAGTGGTCAGAGTGGTAAAGGATCTTCCTGCCCATGTCTCAACACAGAAAATTGCTGCTGTGAAGGTCCCCAACCGGGTTACAGAAGACTACATAGCTAAACATGTTGAACCTATTTATAGATCAAAGGGAAATATAAGGCTTGCAACTTACTTTCCTTCAATAAACATGAGAAAAGCAGGGAAAAAAGGTGACACTGATTCTGTTGGATGCTTAGCAATGTATGGAAGCTTAGAGTTGCAGCAAGAAATGCATGACCTTGTTGACTCTATGGTTGAAAGACTTAGAACTTTAAGCCGAAAGTCAGATGGTCAATTCATAGCTGTGGATTTGAGAGTTGAGATGTTGGATAAGAAGGGTTGCCAAGGAAGTGATAGTGATGGAGAGAAGAGCTGCTTCAATGCACAAGAGGTTGCAATGTTTCTGAGGAAGATTGGTTTTGACAAGGATACTACAATCTATGTGACGCAATCAAGGTGGGATGGAAGCCTTGATTCTCTTAAAGATTTGTTCCCTAAAACTTACACGAAGGTGAGATATTTGTTCTTATTTCATCTCCTCTCTCTCTTCTCATACACTTTATTTGTTATTTGAATGCTCAGATGAAATTCTACAGCTTGCATTTTTTCTAGTAAGCACAAAATTTCTAATTTTTTTATGATAATTACAGGAAGCCATCATTCCAGCAGATAAGAAAAAGCTCCTAGATTCTGAAGACTCTGAATTGGAGAAAGTGATTGACTTTTACATTAGTTCTGAGAGTGATGTTTTCGTACCAGCAATTTCAGGTCTATTATATGCGAATGTAGCTGGTAAGAGAATTGGTTCTGGTAAAACCCAGATACTAGTTCCAGCTAATATTCCAGATTCAACTGCTTCTGCCTCCGGTTTCTTGTCCCCTTATATCTCCAAGAAAAACCACTTTGCCTATTCTTGTTACTGTTAGTTTGCATTGAAGACATTCCTAGCCTCTATTAGTAAATGTTGTGTAGCCATTGTATTGAATGATGCTTTCCAATGTACCCTTTTGGGAGTTTCAGTATTAATGGCCTAAGGCTTTTTGTTTTTAAATTTTTATGAGCATTCAACAAAAAATTCTGTTCACTAGACTGGAGTTACAGTCATTTGACATGTACACAGGGCATTCTGTTCGCATATTTAGTTTGTAAAATTATGGTTGCCCCATAATTATTTTTCATAATGAAACAATTGATAATCCATTCATTGGGCATTTAAGAGGATAGATTGGAATTTTATTGTAGGCAAAATTTAAGTGTAGTTTCTTGGGTATTCTTAGTATTTCTCAATCAAAAATAATTTTTTTTGATAATCTGAAATAACATTAAATTATCATATTTTATGTATGCGAAAATATAATTTTGACTTTAAACAATCCTGAAAATACTTAAAGAACTGTGTTTAGTTATCATTTTACTATATTTTCTTAATAATTCTTTTACTACCATATAAAGTAAATATTGAATAAAAAAGTGCATACCTTCGTTATTTAAAAAAAATAATCAATAATGGAAATTTTTTAATTGAATAATCGGAAGCATTTGAAGGAAAGAGGATTTCTAGTTATTTTATAGATAGTGGTTTTGTGGAAAAATAAATCCTTATGGGTATTTATATGTTTCAAAAGAGAAGTAAGCAACCATCTAAAACGGCTTCAATTGCAGTGACTCTGTCCTGCATCAATTTAACTATGAACATTCGACAATTATATGTAGTATGCAGGTAGCATTATTTTGTCTCGATTCAAATCACACGATCTAAGCATTGTCCTTGTCTAAGGTTAGAGTTTAATGTTTGTGAAAAACTGCTTTTTGAAGTAGAGGGTGAAAAAGAAAACAAAAACAGAAATGAAACCAAGGCCTTTAAGTTCAACAATGTTTGCATCAGCAAGTAAGATGACAATGGAAGACGATTGAATAATTTCAAGATTTTAAACTTACTGAAGTTAATATGTCATTATTTTCTCATTTTACATTTTCCTTATTCGCTTGTCTCCAACAATTAATACCCAAAATGCGCATGTTTATTTTTTAATACTTAAGCAAGCATGTCCTTATTACTTGAATTGTTATTGAGAAAGAGATATTTAAAGATATAAATATCATCATGTTATTTTTTAAATTTATTCAATATAATTTAGTCTTTTAATTAAAAAAAAAGCGACTAATGATCTCGCTAATAAAATAAATATCTAATATTTCAATTGTTAAACAAACATTTTTTTTTCTTTAATCTCACGATTTGTGTATAGAAAATCAATTTCAACGGTACTTATGGTATATCTAGTTTCACGTTAGGATGCAGATAAATTCATATTTATTTGAATACTATTAGTTATAATTTTTATTTTATATGATGTATGTTTAGAGGCTTTATATCATATTTCTAAACACACACTTACTATTTTATCATTGAAGTACTAAATTTAGATTTATTATTCGTTAAATATATTTTTTAGAAAGATTAATTTATTTATCTGCCATACATTAATTGAATTTTTTTATTGGTCTAGTCATTGATTGGTTGCAAAGAGAATAAAGTATGAATGCTTTTATTAATAAAGGTGCCGTCTTAGCTCAGCCGGTAGAGCGCATGGCTTTTAACCATGTGGTCGTGGGTTCGATTCCCACAGACGGTGTATGTTTTCTTCCATTTTTGCTATTTACTTGCTAACAAACGACTTAATTTTTGTTATTGTTTGCTCAGTGAATTTTAATTTTATTGCTACCATTAATTAATCTCACCATACCAACTTCATAATAATAAAAATTTTTAATATACATTAAAAATGCAATAAATAATAAATTTGTATCATAATTATAATATTTAATAATATTAATCTATTATATTTTATAATTTTTAATAAAAACTTATTAAATAATAATAATATCCTTTACAATTGTCAGTCACCCCGCTGTTCAAAGAGTTCCAATTCGTATCTGCTTGACAGAAAAGTTGAGACTTGGATTAATCTCATACATACTGCAGACCGGCTTTTACCATCCTTATGATTGAAGATTCAAGAGATTCAACAACTCACCTACATTGTTTCCCCTTTTAGTAATAAAGGTTTTAGCCATTGTAACTGACACGGCATGTTATAGTTCATGTGATAATATATATTAAACAAAAAGATCGATGTATACGAAAATTTACGTACGAAAATCCTTATAAAGGAATGGGAATCATTTACGGAATATTAACCCTTGGAAACTGAATTCAAGCAACCACCGTGTTTGGTTACTTTTCACATCAGAGTTCATAAAAAATAACAAAACAAATATAAATGGCTGGAGGCCGATGCTTTTCTTTCTTTTCTTAATCTTTGGGGAATCGAACCTTGTCAATGCTAGAAAGTCAGTTTGACAGTATTTATGAAACTACCAGTTCTGACAACATCTAGAACTTTTACAATGTGCATTTGAACCAAAAATTAAAAAAGAAAATTTGAGATGACGTAAAAGTAAAGGAATAATGTAATGACTGCTTTATGTATACCATTCGGGATTTATTGAATAATATACATTACATTCAAATTCTAGGATATATTCAGCAATATGGACTAATAATATATTGTTACTTGTGGGCGTTTAGCTTAAATAAGAATGGCTGGCAAGGTCATCATCTCCATCAGGAACCGATGCTTCTTATTGTGTAGCACGAGACCTCCTTAATCGCCTGAGTGGCTTCAAGAAGTAACGGGCAAGTGGTGTTTTGGGAACTGGAATGAATTTTCCGGCTATAGCAAGAGGCCAACTGTCAGATGGCAAAAGCAATGGTCATGAGATATGACTTGTGCCCAAAATGCGAAACCACCGGTGGTGAATATTTAAAGAGCAACTAGTGCGCGGAAATTATACAGTTTCTTCATACAATGCAACTAAAATATGTTTACAGCAAGAATTCAATCATGATGGTAATATTGTAAAATGAAGTATAGAGGCCTCTTGATATCTGGATAAATAACCAAGAGCACGGATGCATGTTCCTTGATGCTCCAAGAACTGTCATTATCAAAAGATAATGCAGTTAAGTTAACTAACCTGACAAAGCCAATACAAAGAGAAGCAAGCCACAGCTTCCAATCAAGCCTCACTGTTGAGGTGAACTTTCCAAGGAACTCGATGATAATTATCTGAAAATTTGAAGGTTGAGTGAGAAAGCAAGCAAATGTTAATAAAATAATAATTAAGAACACAATAACACAAGGTTGGCCATTCACCTGAAGAATAAAGGTCACTCCAACAATTCCCATGAACAGACGGTTCTTAGTCACTCCCCGAAAAACATTCATTTCATCTGGTTTCCGAGCATTGAATTCATTGAATATCTGTAAATTGAAACATTTAACATTGTTTCATAAGATATAGATGGGTTAGTAAATTAATCAAGAAAGGTATTGATCACAACCTTAAATTGAGATAAGAAAGTAACAAGTTTTTATTGAAAAAGTAAATATTTATTATTTTAAAAATATAAAAGTATAATAAATATTATATTTTTAATAAAAATTCACTGTTCTTAGCTATTTAAAATCCACTTACTTGGCACATAACGAACGCATTGAATATTAAAGTATTCTTCACTTGAAAGCCTTGAGCTCTAGTATCTTGGTTAGGTAGAATACTTTCACCGCCGAAGTTAAGAACGAGAAGAACAACGATTTGGTACAGAGCCTAAGATGATAAATAACACAATTAGATAAGAGGACCTAAAGAGCCTCCTATTCCTAATTGCATGATTATCTTAACAAGTCTCTCCACAGAATAAACAAATTTACCTGTACGACCAAGTTTCTCCACATGACATTCGTTATAAGAGGTTCCCTGAAAGCCAATTATAACATCATAGTCATAGCGAGTATTTTAATTCAAAACCCAAATAAACCATCTACAGCTTGTAAGTACCTCAAGTTTACGTAATACGCTCTTCTAAACGCAACTTTTTAATACAATTTTTATGATTAGTGATTACTTTAACATTTACAAAATAGAATAAACACAAGAAGTGTGTTGAAGAGTGTATTAAAGAGTGTTTCTAAATGTAACCATTTTAATTTCAGTTGAGTAAACCTTTGTTTCTGTCATTTTCTCGCCGTCCAGTTCTGTTGAGCTAATCTTTCATGTTTCATTTTCCTTTTTAATGTCTCTTAAAAGTTAAAACCACTTCAATGCCACAAATTCTATAGGATAAGATTACTTCCTCACCTTCCATTTCCGTTGAGCTAATCTATCTTATTCTCATAAATTTCTTTTGTCTTTTCTTCCATATATCCTTATGTTATGGCACATAGAGACTTTTCTTTACAATTTAAATTAAGTTGAAAATGAAAAATCATCTTAAAATACAATAGTAGAAAATGTGACATTCAAAACCAACACTACGATACATTGTTACGCCTCTTTGGTTGAAATTATGCATAAGAAAATTAAAGGACCTTCTGAACCGTTTAGCAGTGTGAGAGAAGGTGATAGACATTTCACGCAGGTTACTAAGATCAAGAACCACGTGTATATGTGCATGTGCGTTTATGTGCCGGATCAGTATGAGTGCTATAAATATTAAACTGCTAACTGAGAAAGCCAATCAATCCAAACCTTCGGCCAACTGGAGATCTGTGCATTAGGTGGTCAGTTGGCGGTTCAGTAGCCAGTGCAAGGGCCCCGAGTGTATCCATGATAAGGTTGACCCACAAAAGCTGTATCAAAGAACATGTACATCAAAAACCAATAATACCTTTTCTTCATTGATGACGATTTTAATTTGCCATTCCCCTTGTAATTTATCAGTATTGATGACAGCACCAAACCCATGACAAAAATAGTTAACAAAGAACCATCTGAATTATAATCCAAACGTGGTACTTTTTCCCGATGGTGACTGTTGACTTGAACAAAATATACTTGAGCGCTACTTCTGGTCATCGTGGGTGGCAGTTAACCATAACAATACCTTCGAAGCAAACCCACCCGCTCAGGTAGTACAACTTATATTTGCTTCCTTTTATGTACCTCAAGAACCCCGGAAATTGTCGCATCGGCAAGCGCAAGCAACTTTGGGGTTAGTAATTGATATTGTTACAAATTTTTTCTCTTCTTCTGACAAATATTACATTAATAAATTTATAAAAATCACGAAAGCTTATTTAAAATTATAAGAAAAATACTTCTCTTGATTGTTTATAAAAAATAACTACTATTATTATTTTTAATTATAAAAAATAAAAATCTATTTTTAAAT